TATATATAACTATTCTCATATTGACAAATGCGTGTTCAAACGACTCAAGTTTTCACATGATAACGTCAAGATGTTGTTGAGCTTACAACTGCTTAGGAATAGTCATTTAAAAGGCTGAAGACATGATTTTGTATTCGATTGGTAATGATCATATTGTTTTATCGCTGTTATTTAATCAGCTCTTACATTTACTAAACGTGCTCTAGATGAACAGCAAACCGTGAAGCGGCAGCACTTAAGAAACGTAAGAGATGCTCGACTCTCGCCTTATAATACAATCTTCTTTCCTATCCCATCCTACCCAATCCATCAAATCTCAACTAGACAATCATCAAAAACTAAACCAAATAAGAATATGAATGAGAAGTGAGTATCTCATATAGATAATCGGTTTATTCGTATTCCATGTGATGATTCATCCGTCATCCATATGGTAATTATTATCGTCTCCAGCCATCGACGAAATCTTGTCAGTAGAATTTTTTGCTTTTCCTGTTCCTCGTTAATTAGCACGCAACAATGCGTTTCGCTGCGCTTCGAAATATAATACCCCTATGATTCTAAATTGATCAACAAATTTCATGTACGATTAAGGGGTGGGATTTACAGATGTTTCGCATTTCTATCTGTTCGGGCGAAATGCATCTCTCTGCTCACCTACTCACCTGTCTATCTTGTGTGATTATTTTTCATTCACAGTGGTCAATACTGATAGCAACGAGAAAGGTTGCTATCATTGATAAAACTGATAACGAAAATTATAATAATGACACTGATAATAACAATGAATTCGACTGATAAAGCTCGTACTGACCACAGCCGTGAATGCAACCGAATATATGTTTTTAATCGCAGCGAATTAAATTGATGATGTGCTTTACAGCTTTCAGCCGTACGAAGGATGACTGCACCTCAAGAAGGAGATAAAGGATGCAGAAATCAAGAATAGTAGTTATGCTGGTGGTATATGATTACTGTGAAGATCGTCAGCACTGATGCCCTATACAAAATGCTGAATAACTCGTGATTGAATTGATAAGCTCGTTGAATTGCGTTATCTCTGAAAAAGGAGATGTGGAAATGGACAGGTGCATTGATGTGAATAGAAGATAACTTTACCGCGAAACTTCTCGATTGGCTGTTATGACAATAATGAAACTGATTCTACCTATCATAAATATCATACTCATGTTATGAAACGCTGATAATATTAGCAATATTACAATTATATGATTGTTGCTAAGTAATGGCCGATTCAGATAAATTCAACTGAATATTCATATGCACGATTCAACGATTTATCCAACCTCCTCGCCGTCATGTTAATATTACCATTATCACTATCATCGTCATTATCACCATCACCATCAATATCGCATTCACTGTTCATACCAAGCAGTTGATTCACCATTATTATTGTATTTCCAAAAAATTATCCATTTGAGCATATATACATTCGTCTCATCAGCGTAAAAACAAGGGGCTGAATAAGCATATCATAAAGTATGGCCACCGGTTGTGGACGTGTAAATTTCAGTGAAGAAATTGTGATTCGTTGCTTCACCGAACATTATGGGAATTTTTATGATATTTGTACGAATCACTGTTTTGTGGATATGCAAATGATGTCTTTGTTTCATAATGAACAACTTGAAAACATTGTTTATGGGCAGGTACTACTTACATTCATTATAAGATTTATTTATTCATACTACATCTACAATCATTTATGCATGCCCTAAAAATAACGATGAAGCTAGTAACAACATCATTAGCAGTGCCGTTATCACTAGGATCAGCGTATTCAAGCGTATTTCCTCAGATTCATAAACACTCAAATTACACTACACCACACTTCTTCCACAAACTTTAGACACTTATCCATACAGAAACTATTTTCTGATGATTCCTATGGGAGATATCATTCAGTTACTGATGTAAAATTGTTTGATTAGTATCGATAATCATCTCACTACAATTCAATTTATTCCGAAATGTGCATTTGAGAGAATGTCCTCATTATTTGCTCAATATCCCGGTCGACATACTTCCATTAGCTTAACTTTTCTTCATAGTATACATTTCAAATTATCAATATTATTTTTTTCCTTGAAATGAGAGTAAAAGTTCTGCAAATGCATAAGATACAGCAGCAACATTAAATTATTTCAGCTGAATGCATCCATTTAGGTAACCACATCTACACGTATGATATTTGTTTATATTAGGTTGGCGTGAAATTGGCATTCATTCACGCAATCTACTCTATTTACAGAGTGCAGCAATGAACTACAAGCGAAGCATGTTTACATGATAGTTCAGGAGAATAAGGAACATCCGTTCTAGTAGATGCTTCTTAGTCGCTTTTCAAGCGGTCTATTTGACAAGCCAAAAGTAGCGACAACAGACACAATTCGTGCTTGCATTTCATTAATCAAATCCTCCTTTCATCATTAATTGGCTGATGTATTCTTTTACTGAACGATCGATGTGATCTACCATTTTGATCGTTCACTGAAAAATTAAGCGATGGAAAGAGTGAATAATGTTTTGGACAAATGTGTTGCTAACAACCGAGCGCTGATGGCGCATCAGCTCGTCACTTTTGACACATCGAGTTGAATGTTTGCGGCAAGAATAAAAAGTAATCGCTGGAGTGGATGATCACTATGCTCTTGAGTTATCAAATAAACACGCTTCGGTCTTACTTCATTGATAGCTTAATAACTGTAGCTTGAAGAGATACAGAAATTAATTTACTAGATGTCTGATATGCATAATTTCAAATCACTGATTGCTCAGTGCAATCGAAATTACATGCTGTGTCTCTCATCATCAGCTTCTTCACATCCAATCATTCACTTCATCTGCCTCAAATGAGGTTATCTATCCTTCTATTAAACATATGAGTCTTTTACGGAAAACAATCTTCATTTCCTATTAAATGAAAATGAGCGAATCGATTAAAACTCGACAAATAAATGCTAGATCCTTGATTAAGATTTTCATTCTTCTGGCATTCGAATTCCCTTAATCTTCATCCCTGCACTTAAATACATTCATGTTCATTTAGAGATATCACTGCCATCTTCCGTTTTTCTCATCATTTCTACTAAACGCTTCTCATCTTGTTTCAAACTTGTCGTCATTCCAGTAGCTCTTATAAATCTTACTTCAGTTTTCATTTTAATTAAATATATCGTTAGTGAATCAAAGCAATTTCGTCAATTCGAAAATATCAATCTCTGAATAGTGTTATTAACGGAAAGGGATGCAATAGAACAAGAATGAATGCTGCAAAAAACCGCATTTAAGCGTTGAATATATTGCTGACTTCACCGCCAAACAATACATAAAAACAAACATAAACGAACAAATATGCATACATAAAGCCACGTACATGTGAACAGGGATGAATTTAGGGCACTACACTTTCCCTATGCTATTAAATTTTGAAGACAGTATCAATAGGTCTTCTGTTAATGAATGAAATGAATTTCAGTTGTTTCCAATATTGGTGTTGTTTGTTGTTGTTGCAAATGTTCTGGTAGCGATAGTGCTTTCAAAGAAGCATATGATAACACCAACGAATGTTGTGCTCAAGTACATGGCTATTGCTGACTTGTGCGTCGGGCTGGTGCCTTTACCGTGGACGTTCTTTTATCATACACTACGTTTCAATATGCACGAAGATCAACTTAAATTATGGTGGTGTTACATGTACAAGTACAGTATGGATGCTGTGCCACCTGTGTGTCATAATATTGCAATGTGGCTTACGGTATTACTTGCTGGTCAAAGGTTTGCATTCATTTAACTTGTCATAGCATGTTTATTATCATTTGTACTTTTGTCATTGCTATGTCATCATTAATCATTTATAGTATAAATGATTAATGATGACAAATGCTCATCATTAATGCTGCTATGAAATCTAATAGCAATTATTCACCTAATAATATAAGAAGATCAATACTGAGATGTGGGGTGTTCGTTGTTTGAAAGGTTACAACTGAAGGAATTAGAGTGTTGCTTTTTGATTGCATAAAGTTCTTTAAGAATTTGCGTTATGTTAAAGAAGGTATTTGTTTGTGCTACACCAGCCAAGTATATTGAATGAAAAATTTGAAAAATCCACTTGACTGAATTTTAGCAGTCGAATTGTTGCTGATGAATCTAAACAAATTTTATCACCTAATTTAACATCAAATATGAAACTGTCGTGGCTGTTATATACACATAAACATTCATCTATCCATCTCAATATCAGCTTAACTGACTTCTTTCTGAATTATATTCGAATAAACATTAAAAAATTTTTCGCTCCATGTGAGTGTTTGTTTTTGTAATGTGTACGTGGATTCATTACACATCGTTCATCTATAATATTTTTATGCAATAGTTGTAGCAAAACCATAGTAGATGTAGAATAAATTCAGTAGTTTTGTTAGGTGTTAGGTGATTTATTTCAACATCTAATAAGTGATTATTCATTTGATCTGTTCGGAATGCTTGAAATGTGAAACTCAACTGCTCGACTAACTACATTCATTTTCTGCCAACATGACCTTCTTTTAAACAGATCGTCATTGATGCTTTTTCTCATGCAAACACAAGCAAAAATGCATGCCAGTTTGGTTTTTCTGTTGAGATTTCAACAAGAAGGTAATTCTGATGTGCAAACAAGGCTGCTTCTAGATATGCTGCTTCTTGGAAAGACTACATTCACGACACCCGCTTAATATGCTTTGAACTCTGCAACTCTTCCTAATGACAACAAAAAATTTTCCATGATCTTTTTTTTCAATCATCTTAGAATCTCCAAACGTCGTACAAAATGCCCAGTAAAAAGATTTGCTGTGTAAGTGCATACATAAATAAATGGTTAAATAAGGTTAAATGAATGGTTAAATAAGCATTTGTATTCATATGTGTAAGCAGTAAATTGGATGCATTGATGTTAAGTTGAATACTTATCATTCGGAATGATAAAAACGCATGCGTGGTTGGTTTTGTAGCATAAGGAACACTATGTAATCTTTCCAACTGAATAAATTGTGAAGACTATTTGTTTGACTGTGATCACGCAAACGCGAATAACAGATGGATGAGCCAAGAAGAAATTATGGCAGAGTGAAATTACATCAATAAAGAATGATACGTGCTAATGCCGTTACTGTGCTGATTGCTGAAAATGTAATGATGTTGATATGCAAACGAACAAACAAATGAACACAAAAACACTGGATTGTTTTTGTTTATTTGGTGTTATATTCGTTGGTAAGAACAAAATTCATAATGCAATATAAATTCGTATTAACTATTTATTATATTATGCATATCCTGAATTGAATGTTTCTGTCGCTTCTGAACATACTTTGCATACACAGTTCGATGCATTCGCTCGATCTGTGGTCGTACTAAATTAAATTTTCCAAACGGATACCTATGTAACTATCATCGAAAAGTTTGTATTATTTTAAAATTGTCTTCTTTTTTCAGTCTAAATTTTTGTTATGGATTTTCTTGATGTTATTCTGTGAATGAGCATTATCATAAACATTACAGGCAGTATTCACTTCTGCTTGTATCGTAAATAGATTAATAAACAATTTGAAGTGAATAATCAATTTCAAGTATTTGAACGTAATCGTTTTATAAGCCAACCGAACAATCATCAAGCGAACGCTCTAACATTTGTTCTACTGTTTACATATATCATCCCAATGCGCATTCTCAATTCATTTATTTCGTCTTTTATTGAAGCAAGCAACCTCTTGAAATGATTTCCAGTCGGATAAATGACTTACTTATTTACTAGTCACAAAATACTTATAAAGATAGTCGATTTAATGGAGAGAGTGATGAAAAAAAAGAAATTGCCAGTTGCTACTGTTGAATACAAACGAAACGAAATCAGAAGAAAGAATTTGATTGAAATCGAATGAAAAAGATGATTATTTGCTTAAATGATTGCCGCATTATAATAAATGCATCTCGAAGAACTTTCAAAAGATGAAAGAAATGAATTCTTGTGGAGCACTCAAGCAATCAATTCACGAATTTCTTTCAGCACTTCAACATTTTTCAGGTACATATCGGTTGAATATCCACTGAAATCACGTACCGTATGTAGTGTGCATAACGTACGGCTTGCAACGCTCATCATAACGGTTATTTCACTACTTTGCGGTTTGCCAAAATCATTGGATTACTATTATGATGTTTATGAGGGATGGGCATATCTTCCTCAAGGCGAAATCAAATATATGAGGTAGGCGTTAGGTGATAGTTGGTTGAATTCATGCATGCTTGTTGCTTTTTTGTTGCTGACAGCAGGAATTGTTCATTGAATGAGCACACTTTTTTGTTGCTTATAAATGGAATCTTATGGAAAAGAAACGTTATAATTAAAAAATGACCAACATCATACACATACATTATTAGGTCACCAAATTTTCTTGTTATTGAAGTGTTGGTGATGAGGAGGATTGAAGTTATTGCTTATTTCATCGATTCGAATCGCAATCATTATGAAACGATTCGTTTCGTACGTTCGATCTGTGGTCGTAATAAATTTAGTTATCCAAATGTTGATGCTTGCTTCTCCTTCCTCTCGTTTTTGTCTCTGATTAACGAAGGACTCATTCTATCTTGTCTTTTAAATATTATCAATCAAGCGAACAAAATCATCATGTCCACCACTTATTTATTATTTGTTCACTGCTTCGCATCTTCCTCGGAAGTTTAGTCATCGCGAGAACATCTAGTATCAATGTATGGATCGTATATAAGTGGGCAAATTTTTATCAAATATAAATTTTGAAAATATCATTTAACAATCAGGTGATAAAAACAGATAAATGCAACCGTTGAAATTAACTCTTCCACACATTACACTACATTAATTAACTCTTTCATTAATTACATTCAGTACCAGTTCCCTTGGATCTTGGTTAATGAATGTGATATTTGACTTTATCAAATAGGCAAGCAGGTTTAGTTCTGACAGACCTTAATCATATCTACACACAAATACAACTATCAATTCTCAAAAATGCTTTGAATCCCTCTCTTGAACGAATATCCTCGAATAAATGGGCAATATATTTCCCTCAAAAATTTTAAATCATTAATCATAAGCAAATGCACTTACATCCTTACAAAACATAAATTGGATATGTAAAAAAATATATTGGATACTTGCTGATTAATAAATCAAAGACACGCGTACTTTATTCAGAGTAATTCTCCTTTGAAAACCACTCTCGAATGTTCCATGAAAATGCCTTCACATTTTCAGTTTTTATATATTTTCATGGTTGTTTAGAAATAAGAAGAATAGATGAATGAAGGAATTTTTGCCTGTAACTTTTATCATCACCGTCATTGAATAATCTGTCCATCAGTCAATTTCATTTTATTGAATTCAGTAACATTCTACTTAGTTTTTTGGTATTGAACGACTCACTTATCAGCATACTAATGAATTTCTTCTGTACATTTTCATCCTCTTTATTCATAAGAAATCTCGCTTCCAACCTAGATAACTTAATCGATTCTCTTGTGGTGTTGCAATCGGCAAAAACTATAAACTTGAGTTAAGAATCAACAGAAATTTGGAGGGGCTGAGTTAAGAACTCTTTCATTGTTGTGTTTCGGGCACATAAAGACTGCTGTTTTTTGAACGATGCTAAATGAAATGGCTGTTGATTGCAGGAGTTGTCTGTCAGGATTTACCGCGTTGGTTCAAATGCTTGGACCGAACACTTTTTTTAATTTCTATTTTTGGACTCGTGTACTCGCCTTCATCTTACTTCCATCCTTGCTTTTAATCATACTCAACTTTCTCCTAATACGAGGTATTCGACGTGCACAAAAACGAAAACAAAAATTACTCAGGTGAGGCAATGTGAATTAGAAAATCATGATGTTGGTTTGATTGTTTTCTTTGTGTTTGATCGTAACAACATAAATAATAATAATAATAATAATAATAATAATAATAATAATAATATTGATATTAATATCAATAATATTAATAACAATAATAATAATAACAGTAATAATATTGATTTGATAACAATAAATAGCATCATTATCAGTAACCTAGGGTTTCTTAATCGGGGGTGCTCGCATCCCTTGGGGGTGCGAGATAATATTCTAGGATGTGCGGGATATCATTTCATTTTTATATACATTAATGTAGGCGAGGGCAGATTCCAACGCAAGCATGTGTATGAAGTAAGCGAAGATTTTAACGTTCTTGTTTTAAAAAAGAGGCTACAACGGGTTCTAATGGTATATTATAGATGCTCACCGTGGTGGATGTTGTGATGGATGTGAGGTTATCTGAGATATTGCTTCAGGAGGTGTGAGGACATCATAAAAATTTTTGAGGATTGCGAGTGAGAAAAAAGATTCAGAACCACTGAGTTAATCGATTAAGTGCGTGTAAAAACAGTTAGTGATTGAATACAAGGTAGTATTCCATGAGTTAGATCAATAATCAGTATCTCTATTGTGCTCATGTTTCTTTCCTGAAGTGTTTGATTATCTCAGTATTCGGAGCCTTCATTCACCTACTCAAATGCATCAACAGCATTGTGGAACTGCAAGTGATTCGAACGCATGATTTATGAATTTTCTCACGAGTTTACTTTCCGCACCGAGCAGTTTCTATTCCACTTAAACTGTTCTATTCCTGTTCTGTCCAATGGAATAGAATAAAACAGTTCGGAAATGAGGAAGGAACAGTTTGGAACAGAATAGGGCCGTTTTTGAGCTCAAAAGAACAGAATGGAACAGTTTTTAACAGATTTTGGCTGTTGCTTAGACTGTTCTTTTTGATTCCTGCAGTGGGATGAATTACCATTATTGTTATATTTACTATATTTATTATTATATTTAAATATTTTATTATTATTATTGTTATTATTATTATTATTATTTACTGCTATTTATTATTATCAATGTGTTTTTACTATTTTTAATTATTAATGTTATTATCTATTAATATTGTTTAAACAATTATTATTTATTGTCATCATCATTTATTATAATTTATCATTTTCCCTGTTATTATTGGTTTTATTAATACTGTTTTCATTCTACCTGTTATTATTCATTTGTACTCTTCTGCAAGGATGGCGAAGAAATAGTTTTCCAAGTAATTTAATGCTAGTATCTGTTAGAGATTCGAATCCACCAAAAAACACCATATTCAATATCACCAGGGAGAGACGAATGACCATCAGTGAGAGGTGAAACAACTCATCAAGGGCAAGTTATCGCAGTTGATTCTCAAAGCTGCCAATGACTGTTTGGGAGGAATTCCCTCTAGAAACAACTAAAGGATGCAACTATGCTTCCGAATGAGCACCCCACATTCAAACGTTGGTCGTACTCTAACAGCTACTAGCATTGAATTACTTGGAAAACTGTTTTTTCGCCATCCTTGCAGAAACCTCAAACATCTTCCAGCAATCCATCACAAAAATTGTTCACATTTTACGCCTCCAATAAAAGTTTATGCTTAGACCATTCGAGTCCGATTGAACGAATCAGTTCAATCCGAACTCATTAGTATGAGAAACCATTTCTGACTGGACTGTTGGGGCGAAACGAGAATCCTCTGTTCATTAATGATGGTGATTACCAGAGCCCGAAACCCTCTGCTTTCCTCCGATCATCACGGTCAAAAGCTGTCAACTGCCTGCGTGGACAATCTTCTCCCACCAGAAATAATCTTCATTTTGCACTGCAAATGCCAAAAAACCACGTTTCTAACCTTGATTACCACAACTTTTATTGTGTCGCTTTTCTGACTGACGGCACAGAATAGAACAGTTTAGAACAGCATAGCAAAGTTTAATGGGGTTGAATTGAATTGAATTGAATTGAATAGAACAGTTGTCAAACGAGAAACGCACAGGATATAATAGAACAGAACCATTTGGGAGCGGAATCGAACAGAATAGAACAGTTTTCAAGAACAAAAAAAAATGGCATAGAAACATCACTATTTCACAAAATATAATCATTGACTATCCAATTGTAGTGAAAGATCCTTGGAGAAGTGCTCGAACTAGTGCTATTTATGATAATACTATGATCAATGATAATGTTTTTATTGCTAATTTCATTTTTATCATTATAATATTAAACGGAGCAAAAAGTCGCACAACAAATCTGCATACATTCTTTGAATTTCGTGCGTATCACAAATGTATTCCATTTGTTAATCGGATTCTGCATAATTTTTGGGAGAAAAAAAATTCACCAGCAATATATGAATGTTATTTCAGAGTTTTTTCATTTGAATGAATTACCTTGGATTGTTTGTAATGCTGCAATTGTATGTAATCTAGTCAGCTTTACGCACTTGCATCTCTGAAATTTGAATGTGCAATAAGACGTTCCCATCCATGCATAGACAGACATACAAACAAGTAAGCACACACAACACAATTGTATTAGTGCAACAAATGAATTCGACTAAACAAGAGGTGAAATAAATTCCATAAACGATAGCGAATATGAATTTATTGGTGATTCACAACGGGAAATTGTCGAATAAAAACTGAAGATCTTTTTCAGTAGAGTTTTTTAAGTGCATCTGAGCTAGCATTCAAAGCCTTTTTTATTCAGCAATCATAAAAACTTGGGAAAAAATTAGTGAATTTGTTAATAAAAAGAAAAATAACTTTTCATGATGAAATTGCTGATGATTTTCGCAGAAATCTGTTTTCACTGAACAAAATTGCATTGATTGTGTTTCATTTGGATCGGTCTACAAAATGAATGTACACGATCGAAGTTGTTGAAGGGAGAAGCGTGCCGGTGAAGCACAACGACAGAACGATAGCAATTCAACTAGCTTGATGCTGGTCGTGATCGTGAGTATATTTTTGATTGTCAACTTGCCTCAGGCGATCTTCATGGGACTCCTCTGTGTTTGCACCACATTCGGGATACCATTAAAATTGCTCGAAGGAATCTTCCCAGCTGCTTTCCTACTTGCCAACAACATGCTCGTTATGGTGAGTACTGCTTGGCGCCATATTATGAATGAGCGAACAATCAGTTCAGTTGTATACAATACTGAATACAATATGGCTTCACATGTGCTATTCTGGTTATGATGTTATTCTTCGTTCAGGCCACATATCCGATAAATTTTGGAATATATTGTTTTATGTCAAGCAGTTTTCGTCATACTTTCAAAGCGCTCTTTTGCAGGTGAGTTTATTTCGATTTCAGTGAAGAGTTTAGTCATATCTCTGAACATGGAAAGGAAGAGTAGCTGAAATATGGATTTAATGCAAGTCAGAATTCAGGTCGTTCGGCAAATTTCCGTCAAATCTTTATTCAACGGCCGTTTTTTCAAGACTGTCGATTCGACATCATTCGCCAGATGGTGGCGGTAATAAGGTGCTCGGTAAGGAACAACAATACGTCTGCGAAGCAACATCTACAATTAATGCAACTTCGAATGTTAACGAACTAAAAGACACAATATTTCTGTGATTTAAATCGTTTTCATGTTGCTCATGAAGTATTTGATTTCGTGCTGCTTATTATGTCATTTGTCCTGGAAATTGCACTTTCATGCGCCAATAATGAAAGGGAAGGACGTATATTGTACTTGTACCTTCTTATTATCAACTGTTTAAGCATTATTATTTATTATTGAATCACAATTCATTCATTCATTCATTTTCATGTCAATACCACTTTTACTACTACCGATATTATTATGAATATTATTAGTATGAATACTATTATTATTGTGAATATTATTTTATTATTGTTAGTATTATTATTGCTATTATTATTATTGTTATTATTATCATTATAATTATCTTTATCATTAGCAATCTCATGATTTCTACTGTTGTTATCGCTGTTGAGTCTGGAACAAGCGCTTCCTGCTATTGATTCAGAAATGAACACTGTTTGACGCAAGCCACAAACTAACTCATTTTCTCATGTTCATTCAGTCGTTGTCTACATGATGCGTTCGTTGATGCGGATGAATATTTTCGTGTTATTACTGCAAGCATAAATTATGTGGACGGAAGCTTCTGGTTCTCACCTGAGGGTTGGAATAACTAGGTTATTTTTGAAGTCTCGTACGGCTCTGGGCGAGGTAGACTTGAATTGGGCTGGCCGGAAGGTATGGACAACTCAAAGATTCGAACTGAAGTGATCCAAGGTTCGGGCTTATTCTCAGGCTAACGTTTGGTCTCAGTCTTACGCTCACAGTTACGCTCAAGCTCCGAATACTTGTCCAATTAACAATATTCGACACTGTTCCAACCCAAGATTCGAAAATTTTCAAGAGATTCCTTCAGTTCAGTCTCGGGCTTATTCTTAGTATTACTCTTATGCTTGCAATCGATCGTATTTGGCACTCAACTACACTCGTATGCAGCAAGAAGACTCACAATGGTTCCTCGAATGTGTTAATTTCTCGAACGTCCCAGCATAGAATACCATGTTTATCCATAGGCTCGCTCAAGTCGTATCACCTTGCACTTTATATTCAATCAAATGAACGTATCATACCAAAAACAATAACTCAGCAATCAACATAGGTCAAATCCATGTAGTTCAAGTATTGAATTTTCATCGGAGAGCTAAAATCAATTCGAGCCACTCTTTCTGAACCATTCGAAATCGTTCAAACTCAGTTTTGGTTCATATTCAATTTTTTTGTTATTCAACCAATCAAGTTCTTAAACAGTCACTCAGTTGATTAATCAATACAAAATTTCTCGTATTCGTCAAATGCATCATCAACATCAAATCACTATGGCAACATGCCCTAAGGATGTCAGCATCGTTCGTGATGGTTTCATTGTACACTGCTCATTTCCCGTATTGCTAACTGACTAACAAACCGTGTTGAGAATCAACAATTTCAATATATTGTTTTAAACTCGCAAGCATGGCCACCTCTGTTAATTATAGTCACAATAATTGTACAAACAAACTCAATCAATTCAAATCCTTTGTGATATATGCCAAATAAACCAACAAATGAATGCTAAAACATCTGAGAAAATAGATGCAAGCCATTCACACTGAAACCGAAAAACGACCCCAAAAAACTTCAAAAGAGGTAGGTATCTCTTCATTCTCAATAAAATATGAGAGTCCCAAAAGTTTGCAGTTCATTAGAGCATCTACATTCACAATAAAAATCTCGACTCGAAAAAGCAATAACAAACAAGCGTTCACGTTCAAACATTCAAGAAAGCCAACCATTACATTTGACTTGTCATAGTGTATTTTATTGTTTAAAATAATATACAATAAAGCACAAAATATAATACAAACCAAATCAAAGTGAAATCGAAACAACTTATCTAAACAGATTGGTTCATCATTGTTAATATGTAACATGTTGCAGGGTTTTATCTTTGAGATTATTGTGGCACTGATGTTAGAGAGGTTAGTCAACAGTAAATAATAGGTGAACGTTCATTTGGGATGATTTAATGGATGGATTTGAACTGTTAGTGGTTCTCAATCGGATTCTGATAAAAAGCATTCAGATTCAGACGTTTCATTCGACAGCTCCTGAAATGCATCTGAAAATTGAGAGGTTGGTGTTTTGTGTTGGATGCAACCACGACGATTGCAGTATTGAATGATGCGCTCGCAAGCTTCGATTGTTACGTTGGTTGGATGTGTGAGAACGATACGGAACCAACTGGGCGCATGGAATGCGGATCCGGGAAGGCAAAAGACGCTCTCTTCAGCAATTAAATTCTGCACGAACGTTTTATCATCACCATAGAACTGTTCGTCAATAGCGATCATCATGTACATTGCACCGTTCGGTTTGAGCGGTCGCAATCCGCGCACTCTGCTAAGACGTTCATGTACGATGCACGCGTTCTTGGCCAGGATCGATGTGATTCTTTCGAAGAATGATGCTGGTGTATCGGAGAGTATTTTTGGTAAGGCACCTTGGATGAGTGCACAAGGACCGACAATCTTCTGTGATAACGCCACCAGGCCTTTACGAATCTGCGTGAAAGCATCGTAGCGATCATGCACTATCAACCATCCCAAACGCCATCCGGGTACCAAGTAGCGTTTACCAATTCCATCACATGTCAGAATTGGTACACGTGGTTCGAGAGTAGCCAATGGCACAAATTCGGCTCCATCATACGTTAGCTCACCATAGATTTCATCTGCAATAATAGGTAGACGATGCTTATGAGCAATTCGAAGAACATCTTCCAGATGGTCACGACTCAACACAACACCGGTTGGATTTGACGGATTATTGACAATAATCGCTCTTGTTCGACAGTCCATCAACGACTCCAAATTATCCAAATTTATTTGTGCTCCTTCACACATGTCCAGCTCATAGAAGCGATCCTGAAAGTGGACCACCGTATTGTGCTCGATGCAACAAACTATAATACGAACATCTTTGTTGGGCTACTTTCTTCTCATTTCAGTTGTGAGATTCAATTCAGCTCAAGAAAGGTTTGAAATATCAGCGTTGTACATCATTTCAACACCGATCGTCAATTAACATTTCGTATTTGATCGCTATTGACGCAAACGTAATATACTTGTGGTTGTAGTTGCTGTTGCTGCTCATAAATGTGTATAAAAGAGTATGAGTGAACAGATATTTACTATAGCGTTGTAATGTGATGATTAAGACGATAGTGTCACGTGGTGTGTTGATAACGTTTAAGACAACAACAATGATGTCAAGTGACATGCAGAAAGTGGATCTTGTAAAACTTGATCGAAATGTCATTCATTAGAGAGTGGTAAATGAGTTCGTTGAATTGATTGATTTCGGTTCATGATTCGTCATGGTCATCTTTTTTAATGACTGATTAATATGAGCATATTTGAAGAAGAGGGCATCTGCTACATGTTTCATTCAACACAGAGGCGATATGAAGTTCGTTTCGTTTTTGAAACTGAACCGAACTTATCTTTTAGATGAAATGAATCGAAATAAATGTTAAAGGAAGTGGCAAGCAGTTGGGAAAAACTAGTTAGAAACACGTACTTTTGTGTTGTTAATAATGATCTCATCGTTAGGCAAAACGATGGTTCGTGCTAAATTTATTACTATTTTCAACACGCTGCTTGAAACGAAACAAATCAAAGAACAGTTTTCACACCATCCCTAAAATGATAACGATAGCAATAAGATCATGTTGTTGACAAAAGACTACCTGCGTAGTCGGAAATTACGATGATGTTCAACATTTCGGCGTTATACCATCTTCAGGAACATCTTTTAGATTTACTGAGAGCCATGATGAACTTTCGGTGGATGGACCAAGAGTCAGGGATTATGGAAGGTAAGGTGGAGGATTACAGATAAACTAATAAGAATTAGAGAGATAAACAATTAGGTGGTGGTAACGATGATTGTGATATTGGCAATGAAGATAGGGGTGAAGATCTGATGTTAGTATTGTTGACGAGTATAGTGGTAATGACGAACATAGTGAAAAGACAGGGTGGGGTAATATAAGGTGAAATAATAAATGAATGAAATAATAATGATAATAATATTGATGGATTATTATCATGCGAGTAATGTTTATGATAATCCGGATAACAAATATAATAATGGCGATAAAATAAAATATCACCATTATACCTTTTGTCATCATTATTATAAATAAATAAATAAATAAATAAATAAATAAATAAATAAATAAATAAATAAATAAATAAATAAATAAATAAATAAAT